GTGAAGTCCTGGCTGTTTTCAAGTCAGTGGAGATTTTGCCCTAAAATGAAGCTAAAATTTCTTTATTTCCCCCCCTCCCCCCTCACAGTGCAGAGGCCTGCCCACAGGCAACAGTTGTTCTCCCATCCCTCCCCATTTGTGTTTGAGGCAAGGGACAAACATTTGTGCTTGAGGCAAGGGACAAACATTTGTGCATCATCTAGGGACTTACTGAGTGAGGATGGGTTTGGGAGCAGTGAAGGTGCAAGGGAAGAGGACAAGGAGATGGAGAAGTCATTGCGAAGGGCAGGCAGATGAAAGGCAGCAGCAGAGGTTAAGCACTGGCAGAGCCAACGGCTGGAAGAAATCGCAGCTCTGTGCTTGGCAGAAAGCAGGGTGGCCACTGAAGAGCACCCAAGAAATGTCCGTGATGTTCAGAGCTGCTTCCAAGCTCAAGTTCACAACTGCCGGTTGAAGCTGCTCTTCTGACATGAACATTATCAGGAAGGCTAAGTTCTGATGCCAAAACCTCTCATGTTCACACCCAAAGGGTAATTCACCCAAAACCCTGCCAGGCAAATGGAGATATTTCAATGTCTGTCGCTAGAAGATTTCTGCTGCTGACTTTGTGAAGGGTGGCACCATGCTACCGAAAATCATGTCCCCAGAACTCACTCTCCTGTAGGGACATGGAGCAGGTCCTGCCTGTAGGGTCTAAAACCACAGAATCATAGAATGGTTTGTGTTGGAAGGGACCTTAAAGATTACCTAGCTCCAACCCCTCTGCCATGGGCAGGGACACTTCTCACTAGGCCAGTCCCAATGTCTAATCTCAATCTACCCTCTTGCAGTTTAAAGCCATTACCTCTTGTCCTATGACTAAAATTAAGAGAATGTTTCAAGATGCCAGCTTGACAGTCTCTTACGAAATTTCTGCTACATATTCATATATGTCCATGTAAAGTTATGCTGGATACGCCTGTAATTGGCTGATGAGAGACCTAGGAAGTTCACAAGTGGTTATGGACTTTTCAGACTGACTGTCTAATAATTTTCAAAAGGCTCCACACCGTGGCTACAAATGTACCTTAGGCCCTACCATAAACTGCATTTCTTAAATGTTGGTAGGCATGTCCTTCTCTGTCAGCAAGTTATGCAGGAGAGTAAAAACTAATCAGCACTTAGGAAAACTGTTGTCTCACTGACATTTGCATGATTTCTCCACAAGCTGCCAATGAACATCCATCACGCTGGCGGTACACTGTCTCCTTACGTTTACATAAGCTGCTGTCTGGGAACATTCATTTAAAACACAGCCATGTGTACTTACAACAACCAAGACAGCTCTCTGAGTTGTTATTTGCTCGTTTTCTCTCTCTGGGAAGAAATGGGAGGGTTAACAACCTCTCCGAAAGATCTCTGCTAGTATAGGCGAGCGTGGAGCACTTGGGACTCTGACCTTCACCTCCAGGACTGACATCAAAACACGGCTGAAGTGTGGGAGAGAAAGCAGCTGCTAAATGACCCCAAGAGTCCCTGCCAGATCTCTCTGGAGAAAACAGGGAGACTGCCTGAGACTTGCAGCATCCTTCACACCTTCCCTGCAGACACTGCAGCTGCCTGTCACCCTGCATTCGCCTCTAAGAGGGACCAGAGGAGACCAAGAGACCAGATTCGAGGCTGACAAGGAGAGAAGTGGAAAATGAGGTTGGGAAAGACAGAGGGATCCCAGTAAAAGCCACCAGACCTCCCTTTTCTCCTGCTCCATAGGAGTCAAAATCCTCAACACCAAGCAGCAATCTACAAAAACAAGTTTGAGTCGGCTCTCAATTCACATTAGGGAGACAGTGCTGACTTTTTCTGCAAGGGTTTCCAGGTGGAACCACAGCCTCAGCCGAAGCTGGGGATAAGCCCCAGGCAAACCGAGGGGATGAGGCAGGCTCTGTAAGGGCAGATGGGGCTCGAAACCCACAAAGACCTCCCAGGACCCATAGCAGAGCTATGAGGAAGCTACATGGGGTTACTGAACCATCTGTCAGGGACACAAGGTTTTACAGAAGGATACGAGAAAAACTACTAATGGGTTTACATTTACAACTGAACTTCAGTTGAGCATTTCATTTGTTTGTGTTAATGACTTAGGGGCACAAGCATAAACATTTGGACAGCTGTCTAAGCTAGATGGCTGCTTGTCATGTTTATATTTTGTGCTTACGACTGTTACCAGTAAAAAAAAACCAATCTGAGGTACAAGATCAGTTCACTAGAAGAAAGCTAAGTATTGAAGAAACAGGTCTTGTAACTACTCCTTTACCCTGAGATAGTCACAGTTACTGTAAGTAGTAAGAGAAAAAAAAACCACTAAATCATATTTGGATTTCTCACTCCAAATCTAAACATAAACTTAGAAATAAGACGGGAAAATTCTCTCTAATGAAAATCCCTCACTGATTTTGATATCCTAGAGGAAAAAGGTTCCTAGAGAAAAAAAAAAATCCTAATTTGTGAAAGATCAGGCAGTTGAAATTTCTACAAGATGAGTCAATCCTGGTAACACTACTATAGCAGTCATGGATGTTTATGTGCACACACACACAAAGATTTTTAAATGGAGACTAATTTCAGCTGTAACCAAGCAGTGATGAGCACTTCCATGGATGATGGTTTGGAACCTACATATGAGTATAAGTAAATCAAATGGGTAAAAGGTTTATGAGCCCACATAAAACAGTGTCTCTGTTTCCAGTGAAAGCAGCCTGGTTTCGAGTCCGAACGACAGAGAAAGCCTCTCCTCTTTGGCAAAGACAGACTTCAATGTGTGTGGAATGGACTTGAGGAAGTTTGCAAACCTTATAAATTCAACGGGATGAGGGAAGAGCTGAGCTCAGAGTCTGTAAAACCTACGAACTGCTCAGAATTTCTACTGTGGAGATGGCAGATAAAATGCTTGGCTGCTTCAATGAAGTCAGGATTTCACTTCATAGCAGCAGTTTCCTGAATCTTTACGTTCTGTCTTTCCTATAGCATTCATAAACCCATAGTTCAAAGGTGCTCCTTTTTGCCTCCCCAAAATACCCTAGGAAGTGCACAGTATTCTTCCATTGCCCGAATCTCTTCCATTACTTAAAGAAAAAAAAGGTTTCGTTATTTATTCTAGATAAACAAACAGATTTCCAAAAAACTGGTTTCTGCCGTAGTCCACACGGTATCGAGCTCTCAGTAAAACTATTTATTCTAGGTAAACAAACAGATTTCCAAAAAATTGGTTTCTGTTGTAGTCCACACGGTATCGAGCTCTCAGTAAAACACAGGTCCAGGTCAAAAGCTCGACTGTCAACTAAATTACACCTGAAGGAACTCCTGTTAGTCCTGGACTGAAGGTTACTTGTGTGTGAGAGTGATGTGCCATCACCTACTTTGTGTTTCTCAGAGTACAGGAACTCTGCTATCCACACAACACCCCACAGTTTTTGAGCACAGCAAACAATGACCCAGATTGCTCTAACCCCCTCTAATAGTCTTTCCCCCTTAAATTCTGTTTCTTTTTTATGAGGGTGCATTATCAGGGTGCAGTTGTTTCTTTCAGGAGAAGTGATTAGTACTTTCATATGCCATTGACATGGAAAAGATACTTTGTTGAGAAGATCCATCTCATTTAGTCTCCCACTGAAATCTTTCCAAAAAGAGTCCTTATAACTTCCATGTAAGAACCTGACCATGGGGCATCACACCCAGGTGGGACATTTCACCACCTGACAACACAGCAGTTGACATGGGACCACTGACTGTGGGATGAAGTTGGGCTGGGCCTTCCTAGGGCGAGAAGAAACTGTTACTTAAGCAGCTCACAAACCCAGCACCTTCACATTCCTCAGGAAAGCAGAGAACAGCTAGATCAGGATGGGCCTCAAGGAGATGTTCCTCATCTATCTGTTTTGCCTTGTGACTGTGACATTAAACTGACTTGCCACGCTGAGTGACTGCAGTTACAGATGGACAGAAAAAGAGAAATGTAAACCACGCACGACAGAAGAAAGGAACCAGGCACTACCTGCATTGAAAGTGACAGTATCTGGGAAAAATGAAATAGCGATCTCTGTTACCGAGAACTTGTGAAGTACACGGACCTACGTGAAAGTATTTTCACTGTCAGAAAATAATCGGCAAGTGCAAAATGAGATTGGGCGTACAGCCACGGAGAGTAATAGCTGTCATTAATTATGGAGGCACAACTCTTAAAGCCATGCGACCTCGGAGAACAAATTCATGTATAACCATTGCCTTTGCAGACCCTGTTCTTCACTGGGAAACGCTGTCTTCCTTAGCAGAATTGAACACATCCAGTCAAACTCATTAGAATGAGAGATACAGGTTGTGTAAAGGGTACTGGTTTTTGAAAATCTGCTCTTATTTTTAAGATACATTCCAGAAGGATTTCTTTACAACATTCCTAATAGGAACTCAACCGCTACAATTAAAATCCGTACTTCTCATGACTTGAGATGGTCATCTGTCTAGAAATTCATTTTCTGCCATTCTAGATAGCCTTATCACAGTTGAAATGAAAACATTAAATCTGGCATGCAATCTACTTAATTGCATTCTCATACAGTTACAAGTAACAGTTCTCAGTACCATGCCATCTTTTTTTTGCTATCCAAATTGGAAAAGGGATTTAAAAAAGCACTCAGTATTGGTTTACCACCATTTTTTACAGACACCATTGGTAGACCAAACTGATTCATGCTATGAGCAAAGGAGGAGGTTTTCCAAAGTAGCAGACCGAGAGGGCTGGCATTTAATTCAGGCGTTTCTGACTGACCACTGGCCCTCCCTTGGTGCCTGGGAGGGAAGTGGTGGCAGCTTTCAGATTAGCCAGACCTGCATCAAAGCTGAAAGGATCTTCAGCTTTAGCACCAATGAGCAGCAGTAAGAAAATACTGAGTGCCTTTAAGAGTCCCCAGATGAAATACAATTCCTGTAGCACACTAACATTAAATACTGAAGAAAGGGTTTCATACCTTAAATTCCTCCAAGATTTTGTAATTTTTCCCATGATATTCACAAAAGTTTTTCACTTCTTTGCATTCTGGACAGCATCCATTGTGTTCCACTTTTGTACACTTTGGATGGATTTTAGGGCATTCTGGTTGATCGCAAACAGGTCCATCCTCAGTACAGACACAGGGACAGTTGGAATGTCCCGGGAAAAAACGTTCTCCCAGTTTGTACACAAAGCCACTGTCATCCACACAGCCCTTCCCTCGGTAGTCATCGAAGATCAGATTGTCATTACTGGAAGTCTGGTCCCCTTCATCGGCGGGGTAGTCTTCATGATTGATGGCAGCTGGAGTGACCAAAGCAGGGATTACAAATAGAAGCATCCAGGCTTCATGGATATGAAGAGCCATCCCCCTCCTCAGCTTCTCCATGGGATCTCAATGCCAGATAGAAACAGCTGCTTCCATAGGGAGACCAGTGTTGTGGTCTGAAAACAAATATTTTGAAGTGAGAACAAACCCAAAATTCTGAGGAATACTGACTTATAGAGGCCATAGTTTCAACCAGCACCCAAAAATAAATCAGTGCTTTCAAGCTGCACAGATAACTAGCACTGTTTCATTTGATTTAAGCCTCTTCTCAATTATTGTTAAAGAGAATAAAGCATATGAAATACATAAATTAAGACACATGCCTGTAAGCACATGCTCACAAAATATCTCTACAGGCATGGTGGCTCACAGAATCATCTCATTTTTGCTTTCCTCGGTCATGCACTTGAGTTTTCCGGTGCCCCAGAAATTAAACTGACTGCCTGAAATTGCGTGGTGATGGACAGCTCACAGGGGTTTGAACCCAAGTGGGGCTAGTGTCCCTCCCATTAAACAGAGGTGGGAAATCTGAGTTGAGAAATGAGATAAGCATAATCTATAGGTAGATCTGTATCCAACATAAAGGATGGTGCTAGGTTATACTTGGTCTGCGAGACGTGGAACAGTACAGAATTTTATATGCAGCATTTGTGAAGATGGACTACCCGGGCTAGCAACACAGCCCAGCCTGCGGCAGGTAAGTACAATCCCAACAGAAGCGAAGATGTAATTCACCTTCTCCATTATTCAGCATTTCAGTAATTCCCAGAGAGAAACGCAGGGAGCAGAATGTTAAACGCCCGTGTATTCTGTAATGCATGGAGTCACTGAAATGTGGTTGTCTGATTAAGCTGGAACTTTTCTCAAACTCTGGGAGCGATGCAGCACAGCCTGACCTTTGGTGAGCTCTGCTGAAGTGGCCGAGCCGAGGAATGACCCACAGAGGGAGAAAAGCTTTGCACTGCTCCCAGGAGAAGGCGCCTTGTCTGTGTCCTGGGTGTGCTATTGGCTGTCGGGTGTGCTATTCCCTGCCACCACCACCGTCCTGCCTGCACACCAGCCAGCAGCAAAATGGTTTCTCACCTCTCCTCAGAGAATTGGGCAAAGTACTAGAGGAAACTTTTAAATGAGATGAAATATTAGCATTAAACGAACTGAGGAACAAAGGAGGTAGTTGCTGGCACAAACCTAAAATTGACTGTTTGGACGTGTGTGTCATTCCTTCTCTTCCTCCGTTCCCATAGTCTGCACACACAGATACACACAGTATATACAAACATGCCTTAACCTACACACACGGGCAAACACGTACTCCCCCTCCACATCTCTGGGAGAAATTTTTTATGGATCGGGATTTTTGGTGGACTGCAGATATTCAGCAATTAATTCTCCCTTAATTGAAACAAAAAAGCAGCAGCAGGAGGAGAAAGCTTTAATCCTAGAGAATCAGCTCAGGGATCCTGTTGACAAAGCAGTTTTTCCAAAGCCACAACAGAGGGAGACACCGGATATTACACAAGCTTTATCAAATTCAAAGATATCTTCTTAATTGAAGTACCAGCTATGTTTCCATCACAAGAACTATGCACCCTGTTACTACTACCAGCAGCATCTGTTGTTTGGAAATCAAGTGATTCTATGCAGATACGGCTGCTTTATGTATCCACAGAGCAGAGAATCTTGCCCACCTAAACGCTACAGGTAGGCTGCAACACTGCAGATTGGTGGGCATTTAGGGAAAAAAAAAAAAAGAGAAGCAGATGAAGTAATTCATGTCTGAGGAAATGTGAAACAATTGAGAGAATGTGCTGAAGTTTGATGAGGATGCTCTCCAAATTATTAACAAAAAAAGTTATTCAAAAATCATAAATAAGAGCACGGTATTTTGCTACAGTGTCTGAGATGTCCCACAGCAACTCACGAATATTCGGCTCAGCGGCAATCCTTGAAATCAGGCAGACTGCAGACGTCTTGCACGGACAGATTTCAACAAGTAAACAAATGCTGCTCAGCTCAGAATTAGTTTACAGCTGAACTTTCTCATCATTTCTCATCACGAGAGAGGCCAGGATCGTAGGCAAGTCTCCGAGTAAAATGTTTCCATCCGCCTTCCCTCACCCCAAGTGAATAATTTACACTTACCTAATCAGGCTCGATCGGGAAGCTGAAAGGGGTCACAGGCCAACATGGACTAAAAGGTTAGAAACAGATTAGTGAAAGCAGTTCCTCTTAATCACGTTTTCAGTGTGGACTCACGGACAATCCCTTTTCCTCCACCTCCCATCGCAAAACACGGGGAAAGCGGCAGCCCGGCAACCACAACATGAGAATTAAGCTTTAACCCAGCGTTCAGGATTCAAAGCGAGCAGCGGCGAGGCGGTCCAGAGGCAGGGATGCCGCGGAGAAACCCCGATGTCAGCAGCACAGTCATCGCGGCGAACTTGGGCTGGATTTCCTCGGGTCTTGAGGCGAGGAGGGGGGTGGAGGGGTCGAAAAAGAAACCCATATATATCCCCTCCCTATGCCCAGCGGATCTCTTGCGATTCAGGATTTGCCACGGCGGGGAAAGAGGGGGGAGAGGGGGCTGGTTGGGCTGGAGGCAGGCGGGAGAGGGAGGGCGGAAGAGCCCCCGCGGCGGGGCCCGCTCCCCTGTGGGGACTCCGCGGCCCGGGGACCAGGCATGCCCGCGACGGGCCGCGCAGCTTCGCGCTCTTTGCCTATTATTATTATTATTATAATTTAAAA